AATTGATTGATTTTGTAATTCTCAAATAAGACAGGCACTTAATTTTAGGATATTTTGAGGATGATTTGAATAATAATTAAAGCATGTAAAATATTATTGAGGTAGTATTAAAAGTGAAATTAAAAACCAGTTGTCACTCAAGAAATCACTGCGTAAAATAATTTTCGTTTTAAAATAATTTTTGCATAAAAATACGATAAAGCTTTGCTTTTTCTAAGCGTATAACGCGTTTATTTCTTTATCCCTCTCACACACTCATTTTTTTTTCGAATTCATCTCTTTTCCACAGTAATTCCTTTTTCCTTTTTTTTCATCATTCATAAACATTTAATCATGCACTCACATGTTTGAATTTTATTTTTTATTAACTTGGGTTTGATATTGTAGCCTTTGATGATTAATTTTTATACTTGAATTAAGAAAGATTTCATTTTTACCACTCTTTTTTCTCCATTGGCAACATTTGGATTAATCTTTATGTATTTCTTTCAGTGATAGTTGAATGGAAAAAATAAGGAGGATGAAAACTTAATCTTAATCTATCATAGATATTTTTCATTTCAACAATGATTTCTTCCATTTCGATTGAGATTGATTGTTATTAACTATATACTTTTGAAAATTAATTGGAGCTATACAATCAAATTGAATTCATCTTCGACCATGTCTTACTATTTACATGAAAAAGTTGCTCATATTGGATACATCTCGTATCAAATAGTCACAAATCAAAATTTGTCGACAATTAAGCAAGTTCTCGGAGTTTTATTTCACAATTTACGTCGATTTAAAAATTCTCTCCAAGATTGTTAAAAGTTGGCAGTCGAAGAGAATGTTTGATTTTTTAGAAAAAAGCACGAATTCCAACGGAAGAACTTCATAAATGTATGAAAAAATTGGAGACAGAATATCAACAATGAAGAAAAATAACAAAAAATGCTTCACGTAGAACAGAGACTCAAATAAGTAATGAGACTGCTTATGAAGAAAGAATTAGTAAACTGTTTGATATTTCTAAGGCAGACGCACTGGAATCAATGCAAGATGAAGAAGATAGGCAGTTTTTACCTCATCAAAGAGGTAATTGAATTTTTCTTATTTTTTTAAAATGATAAATCCTCTAAATTAATGTATTATTCCTTAATTTTTCAAGCATAAAAATAAATGACTTACGACGATTTTTGCATGTATTTGATCTTAAAATCATTTAAAAAAAATTTTTTGTAAAATAGTTTTCTATAGAAATTGTNTAAATTGGCCTTAAATTTTTTCTTATTATGTGTAATGTAGTTTATTATTAATTACAAACAGGTAAAATTTATAAAAAAAAAAAACATTTTTTTAGATTTGTCAAAAAATCAAGTTCTTGGTTGCACTACCTCTGTATCTCATTCATTATTAGAAAAACCACAACCAAATATAAGTAGATAGTGAAAATTTCTATAATGAAGAAAAAGACCCGTTTACTTCAAGCAATTCAAAAAGACTGCATACGGGTGATCCTCCTGAAGTAGCAAGAAAAGGTCCGTATTTGAATTCAAATCACAATGAACAAAACCATAGAAAAGCTTTATGTAAATATTGTAGATATTGTAAAATTTATAAACTTATTATTCTTCGCAAAATTCATTTAAACAATTCATAAAGTGATGTTTTTTCATTCGAACCGAACAGAAAAATCTGAATTTAATGTTTTTTGATAAATATATCTATTTCACATCCTTAATCGAAAATATTCTTTTCGACATGCCGTGACCAAACAAACGCCTCCTAAGAAAAGAAGGGCTACCAAAGGAGTCATCACTCTGAAACTGGCTACTGTATTGGATAAATGTAAAATTAGTAAAAATGATGCGATGCATTTGTTGATGGTAGCTGCTGAAGCGTTTCAAGTTGACACTCGCAACTTGATATTAAATACTAAATCCATTTACGTAGCTCGTAAAAGTTTTTGCCAAGAAAGATTTGAAGCCATCAAGAAACTTGCTCCAACTCTTTTTTCTAATCTACCAACTACAATTCATTGGGATGGAAAGTTACTTCCCCGATTATCTCGAGGTCAAAAGAATGAAAGATTAGCTATAATTATTACGAGTGAAGGAATGGAACAACTTTTGAGTGTACCGATAACAGATTCAAGTACAAGAAGAAATCAAGCTTAAGCTGTGTACGAGACATTGATAGATTGGTCTTTGTTTGAAAATATTGGAGCGCTTTGTTCCGATTCAACTTCAAGCAATACTGGTCCGATGAATGGTGCTTGTGTGATACTTCAGCAATTGATTGGTAAAGATCTTTTGTATTTAATCTGCAGACACCATATGTATAAATTGGTTTTATGGTGTGTTTTTGAAGTAAAATTTGGCAAAATTACTGGACTGAGGTACTATTATTCAAAAAATTTTCTGGAAAACTGCCGATCAAAAATGCTATGAAATAGGTATTAACGATAGCTACGTGAATGAATCTTTACAAAATGTTAAAGATTCAATTTTAGATTCTTGCTTAAAAAACTTGAGAAAAAATCAAATTAGGAAAGATTATAAAGAATTTTTAGAATTGGTAGTTATTTTTCTTGGAGGAAAGTTACCTGAAGATGTTGTTTTTCGATCATCTGGTCCTGTGCATCACGCCAGATGAATGGCATGAGCCATTTATTGCTTGAAAATTTTCCTTTTTAGAAATCAATTTTTAAAGGATAACAAAATAGATAAAATAAATTACAGAAACATTTGTAGATTTATTATTAAAGTTTACGTTCAAGCTTGGTTTTGTTCAACGCCTGCTGCCCAAGCACCGAACCAAGAATTAAAATTTCTCAAGCAATTATACGATTACAAAAGTAACGATGAAGATATATCTGAAATGACAGTAATCAAATTTATGAACCATTTATGGTATTTAACCCCAGAATTGGCAGCTTTGGCATTTTTCGATCATATGGTATCAAATGAAGACAAACGAATGATGTGTGATGCTTTGAAATCAGATTGTAGCACTTTTGCTTATAAGAAACGGATCATTGCGAACAAAAAAACCTATCTCTAATCATCAAATCAATTTTGAAAGATTTCGTTTGCAAGGAATCTCATAATTTCTTCAAACGTTTCAAAATCGACTGTACTTTTTTATCAAAGGATCCATCGCAATGGGGAAAAGATAGAAGTTACCTTGACGGCTTGAAAGTTGTCGAAAATCTTAAGATTGTGAACGATGCAGCTGCAAGAGAAGTGAAATTAATTACTGANTGTTTTGATTATCACTTCAATATCATTTTTTATGGTTTTTTAAATTGAATAATGATTATTTTAGATAAGTTGGAGAAATCAAGATCCATTGATGTTTATAAATCAGCTGGAAAATCATTCAGATTTTTATCCAAATGAAGGTATCAAGCAATAGGCTTATCGTTTTTTTCATGATTTCTTTGATTATTTGCCAAAATATGCCTGTAACTTTTTTTCTTAAATAAATTGACAGAATTAAACAATTTTAATCAATTTAGTGGCTTCAAATACATCAAATTATGTGGTTCGCAGAGAAAATTGATAATTGTTCTCGTCATGGGCCATTTATTTTTCTTCATTTTCGTGATTTTTCAGATTATACGACATTTTTCGTCCATAACTCCTTTTTTTGACCGATTTGGTAAAAACCGATTGTTCCATTCGATTCAGTGACCCAAAATACATTGAGATACGTATTTTTTAATAAAAAATCCCATGATTTTCATTGATTTCATGAAAAAAAAGAATTTAAACGTATTTTTTACATGTGAAACCCATTTAAAACTTCAGTAGCTTTGAGGCACGTGAAGAATATATTTTAGGGGTTTCGAAGTTGTATGCGCATCATTTTTGAAGTATATAAAAGTGATTTTCACCCAGCACTCATGAAAAATGAAAAAAATAATAATAGTTAAGTCCCAGGCTAGTGTTTAAAGCAACTATGTATATAATAAATGTTTGTTTGGCGTATGTATGTATAATTATATTGCAGTTTATTTCATAGGTGTATGCTTGCCGACGAAGCATTAAGTATACTAACTGTTATGTCCAGAAACTAAAGTGAAAGAGTGCAATCCAGCACGAATATCTAGTACCATCTGCTATAAGCTATGAAGAGAGTATACGGTACAGGAATTATTAACATAGCATATGCGGCTATTTTTCTAAATTGCGATACGAGCATTGTGTAATGCACGCTGTATAATCAGAGGCTCTTACCTTACAAAGAGAGACTATCTAACGTATAACTTGGCACTTTTTCCTCTTTATATTAGAAGGGAGCTGGATGGTCCACGCTTGAACACTGTTTTAATATTTTATTATATATTTGTATGTTCCACAGTAATATATTTCCTATGCGTTTATACTTTTTTGAAGGCTTTTCAAATAAATAAGAAATTTTTTTTTCATGAAAACAGTTAACTTATGAAATCGTGCATTTGGATAGATTTTAAAGTTATTGTATTTGTGCTGAGCATTAATTTCTAAAATGTGAAGATTATTTTCCCAAAACGTATATACTACTTGTGTTAAACATTTGTTATTTTAAGTTAAATTTGTGCTTGTCTTAGAAAAATTATAGTAATAGTGTAATATTTTTTCATTATAATGTAATTTTTTTTCTAGAAAAATGTTCCCAGATTACAGGTTCTGTAAGGAAAGTTTCTGCCACTCTATCTTTTCTTGTTGTTACCTGTTTACGTTCGGAAATTTATGTGCTTGAATTATTTGGACAACAAATCTTTATTAATTTTTTTATTTTCGTTATTTATTGGCTGTGTTATTATGTTTCTGAAAATTATAAAAATATAGCTGAAATAAGCAGATTTGGGATTTAGATTGCCTGCTGATATAGCAGGACTGAGGATAGAATGGCTTTAACAAGTAGATTTGGGTCAGAAAAAGATAGACGGCTGTAGTTAGCAGATCTAATTTTGAGCTATTTATGTGTATGTGTAGTTATAAGGTTTTTTCTGTTATTGTCATGTTTTTCACAAAGTGCCCTTATTCTTTTTAAAGTAATGCAGAAAATGGCTACAAATATTGTTTAAAGATCTTGCAAGAACACATTGATCAAGGAACAAAAGATCTTGATATTATGAATATTTCGGCTATGAGCCTAGATTGGTATGCGCACTTGTTATTAAATATGTCAAGATATACTGAAGCCATGAGACATATGAAAAGTGCTTATGAATTATGTGTAAGACTTAATGGAGAGGTCCACGAGCAAAGTGTTATTCTTTTGAATGATTTAGGATCTATAAGTTTTACAAAAGGTAATTTAGATGATGCAGTAGATTACTTAACTAAAGCTGTTGTAACAGGTAAAATTTTAGATCTAAAGTTAAAAAGTGAAATGGCTTTTGCATAAAAAATAAATTTAATTATAGGAGAAAAGTTGGCAGAAATGGATGACATCGCTTCCATCCATGTGAATTTAGGAAATGTTTATATAAAAAAAGGTTTACTAGATGAAGCTAAAAAATCTTGTTTGAAAGGATGGAAGTTGTCGAAAAAAACAAAAAATGATGAATCTATGGGAGAAGCAAAACTGTGTCTTGAAGAAATAAAGAAGTTATTAACAAAGTAAAAAGCTGTGGAAAATATTCTGAAACATTGCTTTATGTATATAACAATTTTTTTAATTTGGACAAGAACATTATAAATCTAGTCTATAGGAACAACGTCGTTAATATAGATTTTTAATTGTAAGAGTTGAAGAGTGCTAAATATTTTTTTAGATCCGTTACGTAATATTTTCTGTATATATTTACATTAATTTTGGCTCATGTATACTTATTTAAAGCTTTCTGAACAAACAAAATAGTTGAATTTTCAAATATGTACGGTATAGAAAATAAAACAAATTTAACTCGAGTGTCCCACACTAACGTATTATTTAGGCTACACTATACTTTCGACTGATCCTACTCGTAATATCAACAGTTGTACTTTATAAAAAATATATTTTAAAAGCATTACCAGCTTACAACATAAGCTTCCATAGAGATAGATTTTATCCTTAAAGCATTCACTGATTCACTCATATTCTGCAACCAACATCATCATATACACACCAACAAGCATGGCAATAATTTGTTTGATGGATTGCCAAAATTTAGTGTCGGTCAATAATTCTGGGATCACAGACACTGTGGCTATATAAATGAATCCTCCTGCTGTATAAGGTAGGATATATTTGGCAGCAAGATCACCTACACAAAACAGGAAAAAAAATTGATTGTATTAAAAGTTTACGATATCATCAAAATCATTGATACGTTTTGTTGACAAGTACTTACCCATTCCTCCAACAAGCAGAGAAATATATGTTCCTAAAAGAGCACCAATAGCAGTCACTAGTTGTAGGGCAATAGCCTGGTACAAAAAGAAGAGGAATAATTAAACAATGCAACGTCACTTGACAAATTAAGTCACCAAAATTATCACCTTTGGCTTACTGCATCCACTTTGAATAAGTATTGCAAAATCTCCAATTTCATGTGGAACTTCATGAAGTAAGATTGTAAATGTTGTTAAAATCCCAACATTATTTCCTGCCAAGTAGCTGGCACCTATCGCCAAGCCATCCGTGAAATTATGAAGAAAGTCTGCAGCCAAGTTTAAGTAGCCCGCTACTTTGATATCCTGCTTTTGCTCTTTGCACTCCCTACTTTCTTTTTCATCATTTTTTTCTTTGCTACAACTAATCTTTTCATCATTTTCCTTCTTATTCTTGATTAGTTTTTTATCTATACTGGATCCTTCATCGTGATGATGTACATGATCCATTTTGATCAAACGCACAATAATATCGACAAGTAAGAATGTAATGATACCACCTAGAACACAGAGACCCACGCTCATGTCATGTACATGCCTATGCGCTTTGGGTCCTTCGTCGGATTTGTGTTCATGGCTGTGATCATGATTGTGATCTTGACTGTGATCATGTTGAAGGGCGTGAGGAATTAAATGAAGAAAGGCATCGCCCAAGAGACCACCAGAAGCAAACGCTAGCAATACCTTGAGCAGGGGTTCGCATTCTTTGGTATTGTTTAAGGGCACAAAAAATAGAAAAATAAATGGAGCAAGAGATATAAGAAAGGTCGATCCCATGGCTTGAATAAACACATCGCCGTCGTGCCCATAATAGTTTGACTCTGGCCTCCAGTGCGGCTTCTCACCGTCCTCAATGTGCTCGTGCCCGTGGTCACGCTCATAACCCTGAGATCGTCTGTCCTGGAAGCCCTCATTAGCCTGTTTAGAGTACTTGAAACTTGCCGGCTCGTTAGAGTGTTCATGGGAAGAGACAGGAGCCGGAAAACTGAAGAAAATCACCAGCACAAGTAATGTAATGAAGATCGTGTTGACCCAGGAGCCCTTATCTTCGTTCTTGGCATCCTTGCCAGGATCCCTCATCTTACTGGATGCACGCTGCGCGTACCTGTTGAAACATTAGCTTATTATGCTGTAAATTACAAAAATCTGTGCTCAATTGTAGCAAAAAAACAATACACAATATTTCGGCCTCCGCTAAGTAAATATAACCTGTTGGCTGTAGATAGATATATAGGTAATAGGTACACGTTTAATGCATATCCTCTCNTTTGCCGCATAAACGCACTTGACGCGTTTAATCGTAATTTTATTTATTATTTTTTATTTTTTTTATTTTCGTAAATCAGACTAAAAAGTTTGATGTAATAAAAAAATTCGACCAAGTAAATGCGTGAAATTCGCTTCTTTTACAGTATTTAAAAAATTAAAATTTTATTTCCAAGTAGTTTAACGTTAAAAGATCAAGAGTTTTACTGAGTATTCGAGCTTAACGCATGAGACCCTCTTACATTCTGGTTTTTTTTTTTTACTTTGAAAAAAAAAAGATCTTTTATTATTTAAGGGAAAGGAGGTTTTCAATTAATTATTACATTAAATTCGTTATTAAGAAGTTAGTTATGCTTGTATTTTAAATAAGCAGATTTGGGATTTAGATTGCCTGCTGATATAGCAGGACTGAGGATAGAATGGCTTTAACAAGTAGATTTGGGTCAGAAAAAGATAGACGGCTGTAGTTAGCAGATCTAATTTTGAGCTATTTATGTGTATGTGTAGTTAATAAATCAGTAGTTTTTTTTCCCTATTCTTCAGAAAACAATGCTATCTTATGTTTTATTGTTCTATATTTATGGCAGTGATTTTTTTTTGTTTATTCTATCATTAGTTTAATAATGTATAATTATTTCTTTTTTTTTCTAAACTAAAACAAAATGCCACACTTAAAATGCTCTTCGCAAAGGCACAGCATACAGAGCGTTCTGATTTTAAGCCCAGAAAACTATATCACGAGATAGAGCTCATCAAAAGCTCTCAAAAAGCTCTTTACAAAATTTGAATTCGATGGATAATTAAAGAGATATTGTTAATTAAATAATCGATCAATTCCTCCAATAACAGAGCACTCAGCCTCAGGAGGCGGAGCCTGTTTCCGACTGCAGAGATTCGATCAGTTACCGTACCAGCGCAAAATTCAAATAGCAAGGCCGAAGTATTTTAACCAGAGATCTGATATTTAAGGAATAATTACGCACGTCCACCACGCTTATACAGTGCATATTTTTTTCTCAGTAAATTTCACAGAAAAAAAATTCAATTTAAATTTTTTTGAACATGCATTGCCGAATAAAAAAACCAGAAGGTGAGTGGGTTTCGATCATCTGGTCCTGTGCATCACGCCAGATGAATGGCATGAGCCATTTATTGCTTGAAAATTTTCCTTTTTAGAAATCAATTTTTAAAGGATAACAAAATAGATAAAATAAATTACAGAAACATTTGTAGATTTATTATTAAAGTTTACGTTCAAGCTTGGTTTTGTTCAACGCCTGCTGCCCAAGCACCGAACCAAGATTTAAAATTTATCAAGTAATTATGCGATTACAAAAGTAACGATAAAGATATATCTGAAATTATAGTAATCAAATTCATGAACCATTTATAGTACTTAACCTTAGAATTGGCAGCTTTGGCATTTTTCGATCATATGGTATCAAATGAAGACAAACGAATGATGTGTGATGCTTTGAAATCAGATTGTAGCACTTTTGCTTATAAGAAACGGATCATTGCGAACAAAAAAACCTATCTCTAATCATCAAATCAATTTTGAAAGATTTCGTTTGCAAGGAATCTCATAATTTCTTCAAACGTTTCAAAATCGACTTTGAGGTGGTATTTTGAAAACTAGTTATCACACAAGAAATCACTGCGTGAAATAATTTTCATTTTAAAATAATTTTCACATGAAAATGCAACGAAGCTTTGCTTTTTTTAAGCGTCTAACACGTTTATTTCTCTATCCCTTACACACACTCATTTGTTTTTCGAATTCATCTCTTTTCCACAGTAATTCCTTTTTCCTATTTTTCCATCATTCATAAACATTTAAACATTCACTCACATGTTTATATTTTATTTCTGATTAACTTGGGTTTGGTTTTTTTGCCTTTGATTATCAATTTTTTGACTTGAATTAAGAAAGATTTCATTTTTGCCACTCTTTTTTCTCCATTAGCCACATTTGGATTAATCTTTCTACATTACTTTCAGTGATAGTTGAATGAAGAAAATAAGGAGGATGAAAATTTAATCTTAATCTAGCATAGATATTTTTCATTTCAACAATGATTTATTTCATTTTAATTAAGATTGATTGTTATTATCTATATACTTTTGAAAATTAATTGGAGCTATACAATCAAATTGAATTCATCTTCGACCATGTCTTACTATTTACGTGAAAAAGTTGCTCATGTTAGATACATCTCGTATCAAATAGTCACAAATCAAAATTTGCCGACAATCAAGCAAGTTCTCGCAGTTTTATTTCACAATTTACGTCGATTAAAGAATTCTCTTCAAGATAGTTTAAAGTTGGCAGTCGAAAAATGTTTGATTTTTTGGAAAAAAGCACGAATTTCAACGCAAGAACTTCATAAATGTATGAAAAAGTTGGAGACAGAATATCAACAATGGAGAAAAATAACAAAAAATCCTTCACGTAGAACAGAGACTCAAATAAGTAATGAGACTGCTTATGAAGAAAGAATTAGTAAACTGTTTGATATTTCTAAGGCAGACGCACTGGAACTAATGGAAGATGAAGAAGATAGGCAGTTTTAACCTCATCAAAGAGGTAATTGAATTTTTTTTTATTTAAAAAAAATGATAAATCCTCTAAATTAATGTATTATTCCTCAATTTTTCGAGCATAAAAATTAATGACTTATGACGATTTTTGCATATATTTGATCTTAAAATCATATTAAAAAAA